CCTTTACCATCCTCTCCATCTCTCCAACACGGCAATGGCCTTCCTAAAACACGTGAGCCGGAATGGAACCCAATGATCCAATGGGGTCTAACTAGGGCAGAGGCCAGGCCCACTTCCAAATGTGTCACAGTGCTAATAGCCACAGCCTTCAGAGGGAAAACAATTTCAAATGTACCTGGTGGCCAATTAACACTGCTAAAGCTTTAGATGATTTTGGTGAGTGGCCAGCTGTCCCCAATTGACCCCAAGAGTGTTGCTTCCTTTCCTTGGGACACAAATTAAGACACACACCTAGCTCTTTTGTCCCTGTGTCCATCAAGAGCTCATTTTCCAGCTCTTTTGTTGAAAATAAATGAAAGAGATAGACAGAGGGAAGTCAGATAAGGTTGTTGATCCTTACTTAGATCCCAATCATTCCAATTCTTCCCACAAATATCTACTCCCATGTTACTTTGAACCTCTTCCCTAATCCACATTGACAGCACAAGTGGACCAAAAATACCTACCCCATGACCTCAGAGATCTTCTCTCTGGACCTATCCCAGAGCATCATTTATTTATCAAAGGGCTTTCTATTGGGAGAATGGCTACATACAGTCTTAGAATATGTTGGGGGGGGAGGAGAAAAATTAGGCTGGGGGAGCTGGGATTCAAAACAGTTTCTGAGTTGAAAGTGAACATGCAGTCCAACATGTCATTTTACAGATAAGGAAACTGAAGTCCAGAGACATTAAATGACTTGATTAAGATCCAACAGTGATTTATTAGCAGAGCCAGGACTAGAACTCAGGTCCTGTGACTACCAGCTTGTCCAGTGTCCCCACTCTGCCTTCTTTATTAGGCCCTGAAAAAAATGAAGCTTTCTCTGTTCAAATTAATCTGACCTGTTTGTCATCTCCTGAATATAACATTCCACTTCCCACCCTAGGCATTTGCACAGACTGCAGTCCTCCCCCCCCCACCCCCTACCCCCACCTCACATCTACTGTACATCTCCGTCTCTACCTTTGAGAATCCCTAACTTCTCCCAAAACTCAGCTCAAGTGCTTCCTCCTATAAGAGACCTTTCCTGTCACCATCCCCACCACCAACTTGTTACTGCTCTCCCATGGCCCCTCAAAACTGCATATTCTTTACTTCATCTGTATTATCTGTGGCCATGGGGATGCAAGTTTGTTGAAAGCAAGGACTTTATTTTTTTTATCCTCAGCACCTCATACAGTGCTTGTCACACACAGCAAGTGCTTAATAATTGTGTATTGGCTTTAAGAATATATAGGAAGTATCAGGGACATCAGAGCTAGAGATAGCACCAGAATTAAATACTATCTATAGGACAGAAAATGGACAAGTCAGCAAGCTCTCCTCACTGTTTCCTAGGGACACAATATTTCCCACTATTTCCAGGCTTTCATTAATACTTACCTATATCCTATCAAACATTGAAGGTCTGCCTCCTTTGTAAATACAGCCCGGCCATTGCCAGTTTGCTGAGACCTTTCCCCTCTAACTCCATTTATGTTTACTCAGAGCAGTAACTGGGATGTTATGACCAGGGCTTTGCCTCAGGTGAAGAATATTTAAAAGGTACAGGCAGTACTAGAAGTTCTGCTCCATAGAAACAACTGAAGGTATCACCTAATTAGCAAAAATCATTAAAATAGGAAGCTCCAGTGGTTTCCTCCCCTAAGCAGACACACCCCTGTGAGCTCCTTCTCAGCCGTTACACTCTGCTGCCTGCAGTGGTCAACCCAGCAGGGGCCTCATGGTATCTGAGGCCACTCTTTCTCCTCCTTCCTCTTCTCATGTTTGTGCCAATGACATTGGGTGCAAAAGTTACTAGTCATGACTGCGTATCTACTCTCAGCATTGAACTATTCAGTACTTTACTGTATGAGACGATACTGGTCCAGATAAGGAACCAGCAAGGAAGCATGTGTCTGCCATCCATTGACTGGCCTAGCTAAGTCTGGAGAGACTCTGCACCAGATTAGTCAAGGGATGAGGAGTTTTCAGTTTTAGAAATTTACAAGGTTGTCTAACCAATGGTAGATGAGTGTTTGGATCCCCAAAGCAGAGCAAGAAATAGGTACTGGACCTATGATGACATTGGTAGAGGGAACTCTCAGATGAGCAAACTACCTGCACCAATGCAGGTCAGTGCCTTCTCTGCAATTTGTGTTAGAGACTTGGCCAGAAGTCCCATTAAGCATGAGACTTGGAAGGGAGGTGCCCCAGCCAGCAATCACAAGTGGGACTTCAGCCCAGGTCTTCCTGACAGCTTAACTTTAAAATTCAATTCTCTTCCAGCCTTGCCTATTTGAAATGCTAAGCTGCCTGTGGGTAGGGGGCCAAATAATTTTTTCTCTTTGTATTCTTTCTCAAAGTATCTCAAAGCTTTCTTCCTCCATGGAATGTAAGTTCTTTGAGGAGAGGGTCCATTTTCCATTCTGTGTTTGTGTACTTAGTGCCCAGTAGGACACAGTAAGTGCTTACCAAATGTCCACTGGATTGAATGGATTAGATTGCAAGTACTATGCTCAATAAATGTTATGTAGAAACCATGGATCCAAATCCTTTTTTAGGTGCAAACCTGGGGTTTTCTCAGGAGGAGGTAAAATGACTTGCCCATGGTCAACTAACTTGTAAGGGTCAGAGCAAAGCTTGGACTTTGGTCTTCGAATTTCCAAGGACAGCTCTATACCCACAATGCCACACTGCTGATCAGCTGATCCCAAAAGCTTATAAATGTGATTCCTAACTTTCACATCTTTGAAGAGAGGATGGAGTCGCTGACATTTGCACAACAACAACAACAACAACAACAAAGACAACTTGCAGATTGACCAAAAAAAAGAGGGATGGAGAGGGTCCTTCTAAGAACGCTTCCCTTGCCGGTTGTTTTGTTTTTTTTTTTAAACATTTTGAATTTGAGCTACATGTTGAACTCACATCTCTGAGTGACTATTGGGCGTTTGGAACTAGATGTCCCACAGACGTGGCAAATTCAACATGCCTCCAACTCAACTCATTATCATCCTTCATATGGAGGGCACCACGTCCTAGTCACCCAAGTTCTAAACTTTTTGTCATCCTGGACTCCTCACTCACCCTCACCCTACAGATGCAATCTGTGCCAAGCCTTGTGGTTTTTAGCTTCATAACACCTATTCTCACAAAGGTGCCGTGCTGGTGCAGGTCCTAATCACCTCACACCTGCTAGTTGGCCATACCTTTTTCTCTCCCTCATGTCTCCCCTCTCCCTTCTCTCCACTCCATCCTCCACTTAACTATCAAAGTCGCCTTCTCAAAGTACAGATCTGTCCACGTCACTGTCCTACTCCCTAAACTCCAGTGGCTCACTATTACCCTCAGCATCAAAATATAAAATCGTCTGTCCTTCATAACCTGTCCTTCCTCCCACACACACACACACACACACACACACACTTTTCTAGTCTTCTTGCACTTTTCACATCTCCTATACTCTACAATATAGTGACACTGGTATCTCTGCTGGTCCTCACCTAAGACACTCCATCTCTCAACTAAGGGCCTTCGTAATGACGGTCCCCTAAGTCTGGAATGCTGGCCTTCCTCACCTCATCCTCTTGGCTTGCCTGATTCCAGCTAAGACAGCTCAAACCCCACCTTCTTCAGGAGGATTTTCCCAGTCCCTCCCCTCTCCAATGCCTTCTCTCTGATATACTTTCCATTTACACTGAAGAGATCGTGTACATGTACAGTTATTTGCATGATGGCAGAAACTGGGTTTTTGCCTTTGTATCCCCAGTCCTTAGCACAATGCCAGGCATACCGTAGATGCTTAATAAAATGCCTGTTGGATAATTAAGGAACTTGTCTCCTTTTCCTTTCCCCTTCTCTCACCTTCCCCCAGTCTTTCTTCAGACTCTATTGTACGGGGCGGGGGGCGGGGGGCAGGGGTTGGGGTTTCCTCAGTTTCACCGAACTCCAATCCTCTGTCCATCACTTGGCACCCGAGAACTGGGTAGTGACGTTGCCGAAGCGCTTTTTTTTAATACCTTCAGGTACTAGAAGTTGCTCTTAACCACATCCTATGGGGACCGCTGGGCCAGAAGCCAAGGCTACCTAACGCGAGCCAAAAACCGAAGGAATCAAAGCTTACTTTCCCGGAGTTGGTAGATCTCGCCTGCCGGTTGCTTGAGTTTCCACAGCGAAACCCAAACTCTCCCGCAAGCTGCCTCTCAGGCGAGAGCCTAGGTTGGACCAGGTGGTGCTGAACCTGGCTCAGTGATGCTGAACAGCCGCCAGGCTTCCCCTTGCACCCCGGTCCTGGGGCCGGTGTGCAGCCCCGCTCCCAGCAGAGCGCCTCGGCTTCCTCCTCGTTCCCATTCTGCACAGCCTCCAAGCAAGCGGGGAGCTGCTGTCCGGGACCCCGCTGCACTCCGCGAGTGCTCTAGTCCGGCAGCACCTCCTTCCCTTCCCCGCAGCCCAGGGGGCTCGGTGTTACTGCCACGCGAAGGGAGGCCTCCACGCTTCTGGGTAGGACACAACCTTAGAAACAACACAACCTGAAACCGCCCGGCTTCTCAGGGTCCCAAGGAGGACGTCCAAACTCTCTGATATACTTTCCGTTTACACTGAAGCTACCCGCGGAGCCCCGGAGTTACAGCTCTCCCTTACTTCTGGCAAGGGTTGAAAAGAGAGCCCCAAGGAACTAATCGCGCGCGCACGCATACACAGAAACACGCATAGACACACTCACTCACGCGCACCCCCCCCCCACACACACAGAGGCACACACATCCCCAGCGAGCGAGCTAGGAAGCGGTTCCAAGCAGCTGTTCGGCGGCCGGTGACAGCCTTGAACCGCCCCCCGCTCCTGCTCGGAACCCTAGCGCACGGGAGCCAGAGCGGGCAGGAAGCACGGCCGGAGAGTGGCCGTGGCCGTGGCCGTGGCCGCGGGCGCGCAAACCCTGCCCCCCGCCCCCGCCGCTCTCCCACTCTCACCCCTTTACCTGGCGGCGCTCCGGGGCTAGGGATCCTGCTCCGGGAGCGGGGGGCGCAGCTAGCCCGGGGGGGCGTCCTGTCCGCCCGCCGGCGGCGGCTCGCTGGCTCTCCCACTGGTGGCCCCGCGGCCCAGGGCGCTGCTATTTATCCCCGCCGCCGCCGCCGCAGCCGCAGCCGCCGCAGGGCGATTGGGCAATGACCCGGCTCGAGCCGCGCAGCCCCGGCCCCGCAGGGGAGCCGCCGCCCTCCGGCCAGGCCGAGCGCGTAGCCCGTGGTGGCGGCCACATGGAGCAGCTGGCCCGCCCCCTCCTCCCTGTCGCCCCAGGGCCACCACCTCCTCCTCCCTCTCTTCCTCCTCCTCCCTGTCTTCCTCCTCCTTCTCCTCCCTCCTCCTCCCTGTCTTCCTCCTCCTCCTCCTCCTCCTCCCCAGCCCCCCTCCCCCTCCCCCTCCTGCCGCCGGGGACGCCGCCACTCCTCCCGGCCAAGTTCTCTCCCCCTGCTCTCCTTCTCCCTCCTGTGCGGGGCACCGAGGCCAGTCTGAACCGGTTGTGGCTGAGCGAGCGGCGGCGGGGGAAGGAGGAGGAGGAGGAGGAGGAGGAGGAGGAGGAGGAGGAGGAGAGGGAGGCGGCGAGGCTGGTGGTGGGGGCGCTCGCTCGTTTGCTAGCTCGCTGGCTCCGCTCGCTTGTCTCCCTGCCGGGCGCCTGGGGTCGGGGACAGACGGAGGGAGGCTGGCCGAAGAGTCGTCGGGGCTGCGGGCACGGCCGCGGAGGGAGCCAGCTCTCCCGGGCAACCCCGCTGCTTGCGAGTGGAGCTGAGCGCTTAGGAAGTTGGGTTCAAATGCCACCGCTGACACTCACTAGCTGTGTGACTCTGGACCAATCTCCTTAACCTTCGTGAGCCTCTGTTTCCCCGTCTATAAAGTGGGAGAAATTACGATCGTAGTAGCTACCTCCGAGGGCCGTGCTAAGGGGGAAATGAGTTTATGGATGGAACAAGATGGTGCACATTTTAACTTGATTTTATTTAAAGGGGGAAAAAAGTGATCTATAAATGCCAGGAGAGGAGGGGTGAGAGGAGAGCCAGTCTTCGATCCTGGAAGGCGTGTTTCTGAACACACACTGTGTGACCCTGGGGAAATCACAACTTCTCTGTGCCCAGACACAATACCTTTGAGTGGACAGTTTCCTTTCTACAAATCAAGTCCACAAGTAATGTGTTAAATACCTACTAGTTGCCAGGCACACGCTATGCACCAAGGCAAATACATTCCTTGCTCTTAGGAAGCTCCGGGTCTAATGGGGATCGCAAGTTCCCTGTTCCAAAGAAATCACAAGTCTACCCCCGCCCCCAAGCAGATGTTAATGTTAGCCATTAGGAAACAACCCAACTTTATCAGCTCATTATCCTTAACAAGAATAGCTCCCGTCTACAAAGTGCCTTGAGGTCTGAGTTTTGAGAACCATTATCGGGGTCCAATCCTCTCATTTTACAGACTGGAAAGTTAAGGCCTATAAAAGGACCTAAACCACACAGCCTACAAGTCCACAAACTGGGAATCAAAGCCCCAGGGTCTCACATTTGGGTGCAGTGGAAAAAGCATTGGCTTTGGGGTGACGTACTGGAATTTGAGAAAGTTGCTCCCCTGCCAGGGCCACAGTTTCCCTTTCTGTAAAATTAAGGGATCCAAAGTCAGCTCCATGATCCTTTCCAGATCAAAACTGTATGATCCCAAAGTGCTTCTCTGTAAACCGTATAGAGAAGTGGAAGATAAAAAAAAATAGTGTGTTCATTTTACCAAGGAGGAAACTGGGGGAGCAAAAGCGAGGGAGATGGTTTGGAACTTGTTAGAGTCACAGACTTTGACTCCAGGAATGGCCCACAGATCACTCCAGGGGGGTTGACTAAATGCTTAGGTGGTATGTTTGACTCACAGATCTTAGGGTGAAGGGGAGGATGTTTGGGTTAGAATAGAAAAAAGTTAAGGAGCCAAAGTGGGACCCCAAGGGATAGTGGGATTGCAGAAGAGAAAGCCAAGCTCACTTTATGTCCCTCCTGTTCACAAGTGTCCTCCCTATTGTCCTGACTCTCCCTGTTTGTCCAGTCCCCCGACAAAAAACCACAAGCCAGAGAGATGTCTTTGCATGGCCTGCCCCATCCCCAAGTCCTAGGAAACTAGCCCTGGAAAGGGCCTTATCTGGCTCAACACACTTATTTTACAGGTTGGGAAACTGAGGTCCAGAGAAGAGAAGTGTTGAAACCCAGAGTGAAACTAGTTTAAGGAAGCCTGTTAAGAATCCCCAGGGAATGAAGGACAAAGAGTCTATGGTCAAATGGAAGTCAGTGCTTCAGTAAGGCACAGAAGGAGGGGAAGAAGTGGGTTTTCTGTCTCATTTCTGTCTTCAGAGCAGGACAGCTCTGAAGGTTGTAAAAGTTGAAAGCATCAGGACCCAGGAGGAGGGGAGAGGCTTACTCAGCGGGAAGTGAGAGTGACTGCAGAAGAATGCTTATTTATTCATAGATTCAAGGCTGGCAGGGACCTCAAGGAGAAGGGGCAAAAACTGTTAAGTCTGAGCAGTTGGTAATGTCAGTGACTCGAGGGGAGCTTTTGACTACTACCTAGCAAAACTGCTTAGTGGATAGGTTGGGTTTAGACAGAGGAAGACCTGGGCTCAAATCTCAATCTGCCACAATCTACCAATGCAAACACAGACGAGTCTCTGAAATCAGAGGCTTGAGTGGCCTCTGACTCTTGTTCACTTCTAGAGCTATCCTGCTAGAAAGTTTCTTTTAAATGGGAGGCCAAATTTATACACAGAAGATACAATAACATCAAGTTACAGTAACTATTTCTTGAGCACCTAGTACCTACCAAGCATGCTGGTGGCTGAAAGAGATACAAAGTTTAGATAAGGCAAGATCTTGAAGATGCCTCTTGCCCACAGAACTCAGAGTCTAACCCTGTGTGACACAATATTTCGTGAGAAGTACATTTAGAGGGGAGAGAAGAAGGCTGTACTTAGGGGACCGAAATATCATTGCCAATTGGGTAATGGAAAAGGACAAGCCCCTGGGTGAGATACAAAGTCTAGATGAGATCAGGTCCTGCCTTCAAGGAGTTTACAATCTAGAACGATAATAGGCTGATAGTTAAAGGTGGAGGGATTTTAGAAATCATTTAACGGGGAAATTAAACACCACCCCAGCTATGACATACATTATATATTAGTGCATTAGAGATACAAAGCTAAGTACTGAGGTACAGTGGAAAGAGCACTGGCTCTATATGGAAGAGGTTTTAGGTTCAATACCTGTCCCTGATACTTACAACTTGTGTGACCCTGAGCAAGTCCCTTGACTCCTTGGGCCTCAGTTTCCTTATCTGTAAAATGAGGGAGTAAGACCTGAAGGCCTCTGAGGACTCTTCTGCCTCTATGTTGGTTGGTTGAGGAGTGAGGGGGATAGCTGGAGGGGGATGAGTGGAGGCAGGGGAATCATAGAAGGCTTCCCAGAGATGGCACTTTGGTTCACCTTTAATGGATGAGTAGGAATCCCAGAATCCCAGAATCGATTTTAGAAGCAGCCTAGTTTAGCACACACCTCACTCAAGAATCCCCTTTACAACAAATTCAGCCAAGGGAGCTCCTAGTTTTTTGCTCCAACCTGTTCGACTTCTCTTTCAGCCCTCTATGCCCTGGTTTTCCACTAAGCTGTGCTGTGCTGGCTCCTCCTCTTCCCCACTCTAGGACTCAGTTTTCCCATCTCTAGAAGGAGATTCGAATAGACATCTCTGGTTGCTTCTAGCTCTAAATTTTATGACCTATAAAGTGGTGGGGACAGGGGAGGAGGGAAGAGAATAACAGTTTAAACAAAACTGAGCTTAATCAAATAATCAAATTTGTATTTGAATACAATCAATCAGAGGATCTTAAAAGGGAGACCATTGGGTTCATACCTGAGCAGGAACCCCCCTTACAATGGACCCAACAAGTGAGACGGACCAAAGATCCTAGCGAGGGAGAGTCCATGATGCTTTTGTAATAACTAACTAATGGTTAGGAGGAGGAATGTACTTTCCCTTGCCACCTCAAATGGTGGTTGTGATGATCAAAAGAAATAATAACATGTGAAAGGGCTTTTAAAATTGCAAAATTCTATCTGAATATGTCTTTGTTATGTTACAGATTATGAAGGTAAGCATCACCCCTCGTGTTTAAGTCATTTCTTCCTCCTTCATCCCACATCACTTTTCTTTCTTCCACTCCTTCCCAATGCTTTTGTTTTGGTAGAGTACGGTTTGATTTCCATCCCCTCCTAGAAAAGAGGAAAGTCCCAAGATTCAAGAGAGGAAAGGTAACTGAAAAAAGTGGACCAGTGATGTCCTCACTTACTTCAATCTATCGGTGGTCCTGTCTTTCCCCCGGTCTCCCACATTTGAAGCTTTGGGTTTATTTTTCACTTCCCTTGCCCTTGCCCAACATGTCCAAACAACTACCAAGTTTTGTCAGTTCCACCTCTGTGATATCTTTGGCACCTGTCCTCTCTGCCTCACTGCCACCACCTTAGTGAGACCCTCAGTGTCACCCAACCAAGCTTATTCCAACAGCTTCTTATCTTTCCTGACCTCTCTGAGGAGCTAGATGGTGCTGTGGATAAAGTCCAGGACTAGAAGTCAGAAAGAACTGAATTCAAATTCTACTTCAAATCCCTATTAGTTGTATCACCCTGGGCAAATCATTAACCTTTATCAGCCTCAGTTTCCTCAATTGTAAAATAGAGATCATCATAGCATCTAGCTCACAGGATTATTATAAGAACCAAATGAGATAATATAGGAAAGTGCTATGCAAATCTTTCAACTCTGTGTTTGTGTTCTTGGGTCTTTTTGTTTGTTTGTTTGTTTTGTTTTGTTCTGTCATTTGCACCCTCATCCAACTGCCAGAACAATTTTCTTTCATTAAGATCTGGTCCTGTTACCCCCCTGCTCACAAATCTTCAGTGCCTCTCTATTGCCTCCCAAATGAATTTCAACCTTCTTTGTCCGGCATTCCAGGTTTTTCACAATCTGGCTTAACCCACTTTTCCAG